TAGGTCTTAATGTCTCTTATCAGCCTTCATCCCGAAGTGTATCTTTGCTCTCTCAGGCGCCTCTAATGGCTATGTCATTCAGAAATCTTTGGAAACCTTTCAGAAGCCCTTTAATATTTCCTCCCTTTTAAATCTCGTGGGACTGTGAATTCTATACATTTATTTCTTAAACTGAGTTCATGTGAGTTCACTCGATGGGTCGATTCTGTGTCCTTTGGGCAGGGCCCAGAAGGGCACAGCCAACAACTGCCTCTGTGGTTCTTATATCTGCCCAGGGTGGCCAAACCTCAAAGGACATCCCAGCTCACACCAGCTTTGGTTTTGAAGATTTGCTGAATGAACCTCCATTTATCCTATCTGCATCCTTCCTAATTTAAGGGCTCCTATTTTGTTACCTCACAGCTGCCTTTGTCTTTTAAGACAGGAGGATCCAGATTTCATCCATCCCCATAGGGCACCCACACCAGCCCTCTTGTCCCTTCCAGTGGCACTCCTCTATGTCCACTGACCAAGCTTCTAGTGGACAGTCCCACTCAGGGCATTCCAGGACCAGGCACATTTTACACGAGGGCGGATCACACTTTTTCTGTTCTGTTTCTATCCCCTGCTGGGTGACATACCTCTTCAGATACTTAGCAACGATCTGCAGCGCATGCACTGCCCAAATGTCGCTGATTGGGTTGCTGCCCTGGTATGCTGGCCGGCTGATGGGATTGGAAGGGCAGGGACTCCGCAGGTGATAGGGGAGGGCAGTGTAGGACTCCAGGGCATGGCTAACAAGAGACATTCAAAATACATGGATTCAAAGTGCTGTCTTCATCTTTCCCTCCATACAGATTCTAAGTTGTCTTTGAAATACTTGGTACGTGTTCCCTGTGGATATGCTACTTAGCACTTAGAATACAGCACATCCCATTAGCCAGCCTCTTGTCCACTGACAATCATCGCGGTTATAGAAATGAATACGTGACATTTATATGAGCAGCACTGCAGTGTTTTTGACCATGTATGGCCCATTTCCAGTATAAATAAATCTTTATGGTGCTGCATTATTAAACATTTGAGCCATGAAAAAAGCACTAAATCTTAAAAATGACTTCCTTGTTGAAGCTATTTACCATTTTATGCCTTGATCAAATGCCATGTCACCAAATGGGGTCACTGTTAACTAGACTCCTGCTAATCCACGTTTCATTAAGAGTACAGCACAGTGGGTAAGAACCAGACTCTCGGGTCAGCTGCCCAGGGGTAAATCCTGGCACCAGACCTTCCTGCTGCAGATCTATGAATGCTTATCAAGTGCTTTGAGCAACAAAATACTGCCTATCGACCCAAGTACTGAAAAAGCCCCTCCAGGTGGGACCAGGACCTACCAAAGCACATCAAAGCCACTGTTAGCCACCACTCGGTCAGGCATGTGGAGAGTGTGCAGAGGATCAATCAATCCCAGTGTGGGTTTGATGGCTCGTGAAGCAATGCCTAAAACATGGGGTTTTTCAATAGAGGCTCAAGGCATGAACAGCATTTTTAAAAATTAAATAACTTCTGCAATTATCCTAAAAAATAAAAATAGGAGATAAGATTCATTCTCATGTAGGGAGGCAGAAAGGAACAGAAGAAAGAGATTTGGAGTCAGACACCTGTGTTTTTCAGTGGCATGTTGGAGCTGCCCTAATGGTTTACAGAAGCCCAGTTTATACATCTCTTCCCAATTCTGAGATGAGTAACATCGTTGGCCAGGGTGGGAGTGTTTACACCACGGGAACTGGGAAACGCTACAAATCAGGGCTTTAAAATTTTTTTTTTTTTTTAATTGCAGAGAGCTGGTTAACCATCATACCACAGTTTGGTCCTTGCTCTACAACATATTGTGTGCTTTTGGGCGAGTTACTTAGCCTCCCTGAGTTCCCTCAATTATAAAATTGGGTTATAATAGCACAGGGCCTCTGTCCCTCAGAGAGTTGTCATAAGGACCAAATGACATAATATTATGTAAAACTCTTTTATAAACTGTGGCAGAATTTAAATGTTGGCCACTGTCATTCATATTATCTTTAACAATGTCAAAGGATAATGTAATTTTAAAAAGAGAAGTTACTATAAATGTGCAGTGGAACGTCAATTTTAATCTGCTACAAAGGCCTGGAACAAGACTGTTGAGCCAGAGTCAAGGAGAGGGACATTTCTACCACATTAGCTGAGAGTACATGAGAGGGCAGAGAAGAGAAAAGGATAATGATCACTGAGAAGACAGAAAAGAGAACAGTTGTTACCTGGAGTTAGGGCTGGGAAGGAGCATTAGGGAATTTTCTGGGGTGATAAAAATGTTTTATAGCTTGATGTGGTAGTGGTAACATGAGTGTCTATATCTGTCAAAATTCATCAAACTAGACTCTTAAAATGGGTGTATTTTATTGTATAAAAATCCTATCTTAATAAAATTGATTTAAAACATAAAGAAGTGACTAAGAAAACGAACAACCATTTTCACTGATACACAGTGACTACCTGGGGCAGAAAAAAGGTCAATCAAGGTTTATGAAATTTCCATATGATTTTCATAGATAGTCTCAAAAGAAGTTTGTTTGACCTATTTATATTTTTATATGTACTTGGAAAAAGAAAATGCATAAATGCACTTACTCTTAACTCCATAATGCCTTGATTTTTAAATATCAGGATTAAAGAACAGGGTGTTGACAGGTAGAAAAGAGCATTAAAAAAGAACAAAAAACAAAAAACAACTATGGGAAAAACTCTTACCAGTTTTTACTTTCAATTGTTCATAGTCAAAAATGGCAACCCCTGTAGTTTCACTTCCGGTTCCTGAGGTAGTTGGGACTTGAACAAAATAATGTTAATTGTAATAAAAACCAAAACAAACAAGCAAAAAACCAAACCCATTGCCGTAGAATCGATTCCGACTCAAAACGACCCTATAGGACAGAGTGGAACTGCTCCATAGAGTTTCCAAGGAACGGCTGGTGGATTTGAACGGCGTACTTTTTGGTTAGCAGCTGAGCTCTTAACCACTGCACCACCAGCACTCAAATTATAATAATGCAGCAAAATAAAGGTAAAGGAGTCCCTGGGTGGCCAAAGGGTTAAACGTTTGACAACAAGAAATAATGGTGAGTAGAGCTACTTAATTCAGCCTGAGGAAATAAGGAACAAAGTTAACACAGACACGATGTTCAGAGTGTTTGTATTAACACAGGGACCTCTAGCCACCTCGGCTCCTCCCGCTCTGGAGCTGAAGCAACTGCAGCCGGGTATTCCGACCCTGCGTCTCCTGCAAGAAAATTCCTTTTTGCCATCTCTAAAAGACATCTTTATTCCCTCTTGGCAGAAGTACAGTAATGCTCTGCCTTTGCTGGGCTCGCGGTTTTGTAGCTCAGTCAAGTTTCTAAACTTTACTAATCACCCCTCTGTGTGGTACTGACACAATTTCACCAGAGGGCTCCGTTTGCCAGACATCAATTAGGCTGTTCCCCGCTGATTCCTAATTCACGTCAAAAAAGTTCATCTGCCATCAGCTAACCCGTATCCCATCACAGGGCCCTTTCACGATGAGACAGAGAGAGAGCAAAATCTGAAGGATATTTTCCAGTTACCAAAACAGTACATCTTAGTTGTAAAACTCTAAAGTAGGACTAAGCTAGCAGCCATAAAGAGGGGAGGGGAAACAGGACCGGAAGACCCCAAGGACCCCTGTGGAACCCGTACGTCATTCTGATTTGGATTTGAATGTCTGTGCCCGGGACAGCCACAGAGCAGATGTCGCCCCGCACAGGGCGTCCATGCTGGCCACATGTCTCAGGGAAGAGACAAAGCCTGAGGTCAGCTGAAGAGCGATCATCTGGAAGAAGGGGTTGGGTCAACACCAGAAAAATAATAGCAAATGTTCCACTTAAACTCCACGGTGGCTGGCAAAATGGGACAGAACAAAGAGACGTTTAGAGGGATATAATACTATGTAGCGATGACGCTTCCTTCCCCCTGCCCCCCATACACATAGTGACTTCATTGTTAAATTTGCAAACTTTGCTATCATTGACACACATTGTCTCCATCGGTGCAATAATGAAGATTAGGATTTTAAAAATAAATGAATTGCCATCTGTTTTGGTCTCCAAACAAGGCATTATACTGAAATGAAAAAATCAGAATGCTTTAGAAACATACACCCTAAAATTATTAGCTTACATTTCTCCTAAGGCCTTTTGGCAATTGTAAAGTCAAACAAGCAAGTCTTTACCTGCAATCAGAGGCTTAAGAGGCACAGACACTGGTTTTCCCTTCCCAATGGGGGCGTTGACATAATCTAAGAACTCAGAGCGAGGGCTCGACGAATACAAATTAGCAGCTTTACAGGTGTCAATGGTGGACCCGCCACCCACAGCCACGTAAGCATCGAAAGCTCCCTTTTTGGCAAATTCAATAGCTTCCATGAAGCTTGGAGAAAGTTAAAACAAAACAAAGTATTACGTCATATTTTTCAGAAATAAATTGCCATGCCATTCAATAAATCCTGGGGCAAGTTTTAAACAACAGTGATAGTGTTGGTTTATATTTCCAGTAAAGAACAACACAAGAATACCTTGTATCAGTTGGCTCCACTCTCACATTATCATAGACCTTAAAGTTTATACCATTCTTGACTAGGGAATTCATAACTACTTGCACAGGAGGGAGCTGGGAGAGGTTCTTGTCTGTCATCAAGCAAACATTTTTAGCACCCATGTTTTGTAGGTCCTACGATAACAAAAATAATTCATCAGTTAGGTTTGATTGCACTAGAACGGTAATAGACTCTTCTGACAAACTCAACACTGTACATTTTTAAAAATAAAAGAGTCAACGGTTGTCAATTAGCACTTATTTTTTTAAAAAATCTGCAACATTTATAGCAGGAGATTGTAGAAATCTCAAATACTTGCCATGCCCACTTCCTTTGTAACTCCTGCTCCGTATCTAATATTTGAAACAGCCATCTGAAAAATAAGATTTGGGTTTTGAGTGCTTTAGAGAGTTGGCCACTCCTTTTCTAAAAACCTGAAATGTTTTCCCACTGTCTAGAGAATATACTCCTTAATATGGCCTTCCAAGTCACCCTCAATCTGGCCTCGCAGTCACCACACCTCTTTAAAAAAACCTTGGCTCCGGTCACATTGGAATTACTTCTTTTCCCAAACACATCATATAGTCTCAATTGTTCCTTCAGCTTCAAATGTCTGCCTCCTCCCACTTCCACACTTAAATTCCCTATCAAATTTCTTCCGATTTTCTATTTTCCAACTTAAATGTGGTTATCTCTTTCATATATTTTTCCCCCTTTATTCACTCATCCAACTATCCATCCATTCAATCAACCATCCATTCATCCACCCACCCATCCACCCTTGCATCCATCCACCCTTGCATCCACCCACCCTTGCATCCATCCATCCATCCATCCATCCATCCATCCATCCATCCATCCATCCACCTACCCACCCACCCTTGCATCTATCTCTCCACCCCTTCTGCATCTATCCACCCACCCTTGCATTCACCCATCCATCCACCCTTGCATCTACCCATCCATTCATCTACCCTTGCATCTATCCATCCATCCACGCTTGCATCCATCTATCCACCCTTGCATCTATCCATCCATCCACTCTTGCATCCATTCATCTACCCATCCTTGCATCCACCCATCCATCCACCCTTGCATCCATCCATCCACCCTTGCATCCATTCATCCACCCACCGTTGCATCCATCAATCCATCCTCCCACTCACCCAATGCTATCAAGTGTCTGCTATGTTCCAGGCACTGGGCTACTGTGCTTGGCTCTGATAATATAACTATGAAAAAGAGAAACATGATCTCATAAAGTTTATAGCTGAGGGAAGAGCTTTTAAACTGATGAATGATAGGCCACTTTTGATCAACTCCATATTTTGTTTGATCTATATTATGTTAAATTGTTTTTGAATTGGTTAATAATTTTAAAAAATCAGGGTAAAAAAAAAATCCAATGTGACAGTCTGAATTTCTATTTCTCCTGAATAATCTGGCAACACTGGGCTTGCATTCCTATGTTGTCAGCAATAGATACTCAGCAATCATGTGGCACTGAGTAGAAGCTACACCCTTTAGCTGGGGACTGTTCCCTCAGTGAATTCAGCACAGTCCTCACCCAGCCTGCTTAGCTGATTAGTAACTCTTGGGCTCCTGGTGACACTTTAATTTGTGACTCCTGCACTAGGAGACAGGGACTTAAGCAAATAATTACAAACAAGTACTTAATTCAAGTGTGATTAAAAACTCATCACAATGAATTGTTCCTTTACTTTTGCTTCAGTAGATTACTTTTACCTCCTTTGGAACCATCATAATTACAAAACTAAGGAAGATATAACATATAACATATAATTTGGAGAGTCTGGAGAAGCTGGAATTTATTGTATTCTAATGACAATACAGAAGATGGTATTCTAGATACTATTCATATTATCAGATAATTTACATTCGATTATTCTGACAAGGTATTTTGCTAAATAAGCACTAATGGGTTACATAATTAGATTATAGAGCATCAATTAATAACAAATTTAAAGTGAAATAATCACGCATTAACAAAATACTCTAGTTACATTTTCTCAGGTTATTCATAAAAGAAAGAATGGCTTGATTAAATCTACCTCAAAGGCATAATCTGTTGTTTTCCCAGAAGGTGACAGTCCAGTGGCTAGAAATAAAAAAAAAAAATCATCAGAGTAGGCCTCAAAAATAAAGAAAAAAATGTTATTTGATAGTAAATTGGCATTCCAGCAGGGAACATAACCATTTCCCTTACTATCTTACCTAAAATATATTTATCTTTCAGGTTTCATTGTTGTACATTAAATTAAAATTCAACTCTGCATATTAAAGGTAGAAATGTAATGCTAACTTGATGCTGATTTTGTGAAAATAAAGTTACTTAAAATATTTTCTCCACTGAAATTAAGAGTTTTGAAAACATAATTTGTAAAAAATCCTCTAGAATCTACACAATTTGTTCAGGGTTTGTTTTCATTACTTAAGTCTCAGTGATGAAAGGCAATATAAAAATCAGTGTCATAGCTAAAGGTCCAATTGGGTTATTGTTAGAGAAGCACTATTAGTATATTCATTAATTAGAGTTCTGCTTATATTTCTTATAGCAATTGTGATAATTTGTTTGAATTAAGGTTTCTTTTTTTCATAGAGGTAACTTATCACAGTAAGATATTTACATTTTTAAAGCACATAAATAAAAAATTAGTTTTCTTCATGACATTTAATAAATATTTTATAAATGGGTATTTCTTTGCAAAGTATCAAGTTATAATTACGGTAAAAATGATTTTCTGTCATACTGGAAAAGTATGAGGGACCCAGTTAATGAATTTTTTCCTTGTTTTTACCTACTTATTCACATCAGTCCTGGTCATCATAAGATAAATGAACATCTACAGAACAATTTTCTCTACCATTTTTTAAATAAAAAGAGATCACAACTGGAGGACTATCTAACCTTGGCTGCCTGAGGGTAAAAGCACCCTTAATCAAAATTCAAATTTCTTTGGTCCCTACAGGCTTTAAAGAAATGAATCCATTATTCCTGTTAACTAAAATTTAGGAGAGACATCAATTGGATCCTACATAACAGTGAGATTATCTTTCTCTAAATTATTAATTTCATTCCACCTAACAGGAAATGACTGGTTCTTTGTTAAAACCTACTAAGAACCAGAGAAAACCAGCTGATCACAAAGATTCTGCATATGTCCAGGAGGGCCTTATGGGCTGATAACGCCTCTGCCTCGCAGATGGCAGTTAATGAAGGAGGTCCCTTGGCTTGTCCTGAAGGGTGAGCCACTCCCCAAGCAGGAAAAAGCACTCAGGTAGTTACTCTTTCTCTTCTACTCCCAGCAGCTCCCAAAAGGACAGGCACTCTTTCCATGCCCCGCCCCCTGTTTAGATTTGACCTTTACTTCCTAGAGCCAAAACCAGCGTTTGCATCAGTAATTCATTCATATGACGTTTTGAGGACAACGACTTCCCATTGCTCCGTGGACAGTGGAGTTTGGAGAGGATTAAGAAGTTGGTGGGGACTGAAAATTTTTGTCATTATTATTATTTTTTACATATACTTTATTTTTGATTGTACTTTAGATGAAGGTTTACAGAGCAAACTAGTTTTTCATTAAACAATACACATATTGTTTTGTGACATTGGTTGCCAACCCCACATGT